CCTCCTCCGGCCGATCGCCATTTAAATAAAATATTACCCTTTCCCCTCCGCTCACCTCTTGGTTGATCTCCTTACTCTGAGGTTTTTGGTTTTTTTTTTTTTTTCCCTTTTTTTTTTAACGGACTTTCCTGACGATTACGATCATTCACGATGGCCTCTTCAACATCAAAGGCCGAAGAGGTGACGGGGTATGTCGAGGAAACTCCTAAACAGCAGGGCAAGGTTGGGCGACACTGCCGCCGCTTCTGGTGGATTTGGTTGATTGCGTTCTGTCTGTTCGTACTGGTCATTATGATCATCATGTTAGTATTCCCTTCCTGCTCCTTCATGACTTTGGAAATGATATCTGATGGAGAAGTGTAGCGTGTACGCCATTCTACCCGCCGTCAGTCAGAAAGAGATCGACAAGACCGTCCTGAACTTGCATTCCTTCACAATCCTCGAGCCATCGCCGACCTCCCTACTGCTATCTCTCAACAGCACCATCACGGGCGCCGGGGGCATTGCTGCCCATGCGCGGCTCGATCCCATGAATGTCTCCTTTTTCCTGGAAGACCACAAGCCTATAGATCCATTCATGTACCTTAAACTTCCCAGCATCAAGGGAGGAAGCTCCGTCCCCGTCATCACCACCAATGTCACCACCGAGATCGCCTCCGTCTCCGCGTTGACGGAATTCTCTGCATTGTTATTGGGCAGCGAGACCTTGAGGGTGGCCATCCGCGGACGATCAACCCTGCGGGCAGGTAAGCTGCATACGAAGGTCAACTACAACGAGGTCATCACCATCAAGGGTAATCCCCGGATTCAATATCCACGAGTCTCGAGCTGCAAATAACCTAACGCGCCGTAGGCTTCAATCAACTCAAGGGAATGGAAATCGAAGAATATAACCTCCTGAACCGGACGCAGCAATCCGACGGCTCGAACCTCGGGGGCAAAGTCCTGATTCCCAACCCCACCGTCTTTGATATCCAGATGGTAATCTCCACCCCCTTCTCCCCTCTCTTTCCGATTCGTGATATTAATCCATCATCATCAGGGTGATGTCCACATCAACCTGTCCTTTAACGGACAAGCGCTCGGAAACGGTACGATCCCTGGTCTTCACGTACGCCCAGGCAACCATACATACGATTTCCGAGCAAGGGTGCAAACCGCCGCACTCCTCCGCCTCGCCGCGGCGGGAGGCGGTAACCCCGTCGTATTGGACGTCCGTGGCAACGGCACCGACATCAACGGTGTCAGCATCCCCTGGCTGGCTGAACCGTTGAGCTCGTTGGAGGTTAAAGTCCCGATCAAGGCGCGGGAATGATCTGTTTTGTTTTTTGTTTTTTTTTCTTTCTTAAAATGCTTCGTATTCGTTTTTTGGATTCTTTTTTCCTTTTTTTGGATTTTTACCCATGCACGATGGTTATCATCCGGCATACTGTATAGTGATTGGAGGATATGGGGGGGGAGGGGAAAGGAAATATAATAATTCATTCGACACCACTCGCTACCCTCATCTATTGTCAAAAACGTCAACCGCAAACCATTCCGCGCGGGCGCCCACAGCAGCCAAGCAGGATCCGAAAACCGCGCTTGCAATTCTACGGTAAACTCACAGTCTCATACACTACTGTATCCAGTTAAAGACCCGCACAGCTCTTTGCCACACACACTGTGCGAATCCCTATTTTCGGGAACTTTGAAAAATCGAACTGTACGGTACAGTGCTGTAGCAAAGCGACGACAGCAACCACAAACCAAGGTCCCGGATTGGCCAGATACACCACCGTGATTTCACGAAAGGGGGGAGACTTCCTCGGCTATCGCACGTATTGTACTGGAGACTAACCAGTGTTGAGAGAAACAGCAGGGATCGAGTTTCCCGGTGATCCCTGTCGGCCTGAACTGTCCTGTTTCGGATCGGGGGTTTCGGGATGGTGGCGGTGCGGAGAGTTGATCGTGGGGGGGAACCCTGTTGCTTGGCTGTTACCGTGCCGGTATCTTGGCTCATCCATGCTTTGTTCTCGCACGACGCCTTCCGGGAGGGAAGAGGGGATTTCTTTTTTTTTTTTTTTTTTTTTGCGATGCACCCTTTATGTAATTTATGCATACCCGGTGGGTATGTAGGAGGAGGAAGGAATAATCGTAAGGATTGGTATGCTCGGTGCGGCTGGAGTTTCCACCGTATGCATGATACTGTCGCTGGATTATGGTGATATTCACGCGGTTGGTGTAATGCTGACGGGGCATTACGGTATCGGAGGGACTTTTGCATAATCATGGGAATCTACTCGAGCACGGCGGGGGGGTGATTTGCCTAGGAGACCAAATATCCATCCTGTGCCACTGCTTTTACCCTCATGGGACAAAAACCGATAAATAAATAAATCGTCCACATAATTATAAAGTGACAATCCCGAGTGACCATCCATGACACCCCACAACCGAAATTCGAGTTGATGCGAAAAAATCTCTCAGTTGGCCAAGCCACACACCCACTCATGCGTCAGCCCCCCTTTGCCCCGCCACTCTCGCAGCCGCAGTTTTTTTTTTTCCCCCTTTCCTATCACCGCCTGCAATGGGTTAGCTTTTGACGATCAAACCTTCTTTCCCACCTCCCTTTGATGCGTTGGCCTATACCTTTCTTTTTTCTTTCTCCCTTTCCAAGTTCCAATCATTATCATTGGTTCTTGGATTCATTGGTTCGTAAGGCTCATTTCTTCTCAGCCAGATGCACTGCACTCCCACTGCCGGTATTGTACTCGTACAGTATTATACTCGAGGTATCGGTAGGCGGCTGCATCACCGGACGGGGTCTTGGAGGTTATTTATTATTATCACCGTCATCGGCTGTGGTCTGATCTGATACAAAACTACAGGCGCTTTCCCTGGGATTTCCGCCTACGGCAATGGACCATTCCCAACCCTCGAGCTTTCAGACGCTCCAGACGAGCAGAAAATAGATAAATAAACAAACAAACAGATAAAACTGCCGTGCCGTGCTCGAGTACCGTACGGTACGAGTAGAACTGTAGCAGCCTAACCTCCGTTACACAACCACCGCCTAAAAGGAGATTTCCCTCCCACCCACCCACCATTCAGGACGGCCAACGGGTTGACGGGTACCGGTACCGTAGCGTAGCGAGCACTTGTCATTCATTCGGGGGATTCCCGGTATCAAGCTTTTCGGATTCACTACTTGTACCGTACCTCTTGGCCAGATGATTGGATCGTGGCTTTTCCCCACGCTGATCGGTAATGCCGAGAAAAGGGGGACGGGTTTCGTTCGCCTTCTGGATCTGGACGGGGCTTGTTCTTGCCGTAGCTGAACGTGTTTTGGGTTTTATTTGGTTTTGGGGTGGGAGGGGAGGGGAGGGGATTGGTGTTACCGTGGGGTTTGCTTTGTTCGGTGCTTATTTTGATCTCTCTCTCTCTCTCCGTTTGAAAGGGGTGGGTAGGTGGGTGGTGGTTCCGTATGGTAGGTGGGTAGATTTGGTAAATAGATTTGGTACATGTGCGAGGTGCGGTTTGTATAATAGAGGCAATGTGGGAATATCTATCTAATGAATATGATATGATAAAACTAGATCTTGAGAGCTGTTACGGTACTATAGGTCGGTGATAGTGCGTAGTGAATACCGTAGTCGACTTGGGAAAAGTAAATATATTACAGATTAGCTACTATTTCCGATGAGACAAGTGAGAGATACCGGCACTACGGTACAGTACAGCACAGCACTCCAGTAAAACCCAAATTACTCGTCGCACTGTACCAGTACTAGTACTGTACTCTAATAACCTGTCTCAGATCCCCGTGAAACCATCGAGACAAGGCGCTAGTGCAAAATCTCGGTATGATATAACCGCGTAATAGTGATCCATCCATCCATACCAACAGTACTTGTAACAGCCAGCTGAGCCGGAGCCTCACGCGGACAGGACAGCAAATCCTCCTCATATGCACCGTCCCAACCTCCATCCTGTGAAGCGCGAAATCAACTGGTCGTCGATAGGTCAGGGCAGAGCACTCCAATCTGCTCTCGTCGTACAGTACCGGTACTGTACTGTGCATCCCAGCCCTTAAATTAGTGGTGGAAAAACAAAACGGAACAAATTCTCGGGTGATTTGCTGTGATTTTAGGGTTTGGGGGTTGGAGAACTGGATTAAGTTACCGTATCGTACCATGATAGTATGCATGATACAAGTATTCACCCGTACCTACCTACCACGATCTCACGATTACCAGAGGGAATTCCTTCAAATGTACAATTGTTCTTTTGTTTTGTTTTTCTTATTATAGGTGCTGTGGTGCCTTATCTTGCCTAGTCCTAGAAAATATTTTTACATTTTTTTTTAAATTTTTATTTTTTGGGCTCTTTGCCCTTACCCTTTCCGAATTGTTCGGGATGTTTTGGGGAACCGCCTTGTGGTATTGGGTCTGATGATGTGGTGCTAGTATGATGCGGTACGGTACCCATCCGGCACTACAGTATCGTAACTGGAAATCGTGGCGGTGGCGGGTGATCTGCGGTGACGGGTGGGTTGTGGTACAGAAACCCTCAGATCTCTTTTTTTTTTCTTTTCAGAAGTAGATCTATAGAAAGTCGCGGTTAGTCAAGTGCGTTGGATGGATGGATGGATGTGTGGATGCCGTAACTGGAGGTGTTTGCACAGTTATTTGTTATTATGTGGGCTTCGAGTATGCTTATCTTGCTCGGGGGGAATGATCTACCGGGGGAATTGATTAAGAAAAAAAACAAAAACAAAGGAAAAGAACTGCAGTGTACATAGATAGAGGGGTGGGGGGCTCTTAGGATACATCGGACAAGTCGGGAATATATTCATCTTGATGGCTGTCGTACTTTCAGTGGGTTGCAATGGAGAGTAAGTTAACTAGCTAAAGCTCTCTTCTCGTTGGAGACTCGGACGTTTTATATCACGGCTAGGGATTTTTAACCAGACTGATGCGGTATCATAACAGGTATGATACACAACGCTGGCGGGAATGTTTGAATCCTGAGGCAAAGCGGGTAAGCAGGGTTGGTATCATATTCGGCATACCAACATTTAAGACTATAAACATCCCAGAGTATGTCTATTATATACCGAGTGTCCTTATTTATCCAAACACGTTCAGAACAAACAGAAGACACCCAGTTACCCAGCTTAACATCTTTTTTTCTTCTCACTTAATATCAGAAGGGTGTTACCATGTACCATGCTTTTAACATTGCAAATAATAACTTGTCAATCTGATAGTCGGGCAAAGCAAGTGTGACACAACTTTTTTATATTTTTTTTATATTTTATTTTATAGGGTGATAGTTGATGATTCTACCTGATAGTGTGATACAAGAACAAATACTGATAATGCATAAAACATGGTAGGAAAATAATGTAGAAAGTTGTCTCAATCTAATTAAAGTCTATAAAGCACGGACGAAATTTCGGAGTTGGAAATTCATATACAGGACACTGGGTTGAGCATAATATGATCAGGACTTGACTAATAAATCAGTTTCTGATTCTTTATGTATTTCATTGGATTCTATTATGGGAAATTCTGATTTTGTAGGCTTCGATTAGGAAATAGTATAACCTGTATTGTTTTTCTGCAAAGTTGTTTATATATTTAGTGTTGCTCTTCTATCATACAATAGGGTTAAGTCACAATCCATCATCCTATAAAAAGGAAAAAAGAAAAAAAAAGTTAGCATCTCACCCACCTCGTCAGACTATGAGCGAAGCGATATAGTAGGGTAACCGTCTATTAATTATAATTTCGAAATTCTATCATAATATTATTATGGGTACTGATGTGCAAAAACTGGGCAAATCTACAACTGCAACAAATTTCCTTTAATGCATATCATACTTCTTAAGCATACAGAGCATCATCTGAAGAGCTTAAAAAAACATTTGTCAGTTAAATTGGACTCTTTATAAGCTTTATAATTCATCAGGTCCAAAATTTTTGTGGTTGTTATGCAAAGTTCAAAGTGTTATAACTCAAAACCAGGTTAAAGGGGTCTGCCCAGTTTTCGCATATCAACACCCATATGATGCTCAAACATGTTCTCAAGAGTGGTGCACCGGGCAACCGCCATCATCTCCAAAACACAATTAGGACTAGAAGGGGGAAGGGAAACAAATCACGGCGCATATTGAGATAGGCAGCTCGAATCACGGTACGCCGAACGGCCCACACCCCTCGTAGTTCTAGAGGTCACTGAAATCCTTCCCGGACTGCACCATCCTGTCTCGACAAGATCCTCACATACTATTAATGGCTTTGGCTTTTCCTGGGTGACGCCGTTGGGTGTTTCCAAGGCATTTTTTTTTCGCAGATACCCCCTCGCACACCGTAATAACTCAAATAGCGGTATGACAGAACCGTGTGCTATGTCATTGAAGTCATCACCTCACATAGGGTTTTTTTCTTTCTTTTATTTTTTTCCTTAATGTTCCTAAATCCGGAGTGGAGCTAGCAAACACCTCTTCTCCCTTCCCATCTTTCTCTTGTGGGGATCTTGAACGCTAAGTAAAAAAAAAACCCCCAGTTTCGAGAAGAGGTGATTACCGAGTGATATTTTATGAAGTGTGAGCCGAATCCTGAACCCCTATCATTAAACTCTATATTACAAAGTGGGTCCACAAAGCAGCCAGGACAATTGGAACGGGAGGAAAAAAAAAATCTTTAAAGAGGGTGAGGAAGGGGCAAAGGACCTAAAAATGATAGTCACTAATATTGCAAGATAAGGTATCACACAATTTAAGAAAATGAAGAACAATATATATGATAATTATGATATCACAGCTTGGGGGGTTCTATTTCTGGTGATCGTGAGACTGTTATGGTGCGCATAGGTTGAATACTTGTTTGCACCTTGCTATAACGGTGCTTTCCTTGGTCCTGAGCTTTAGAACCCTCTGTGTTCCCTTGGCGTTTGGGGAGATTCGCAGGAGTGGTATTTTTCTTCTTCTTCCGAGTTAAGGTCTCTTATGTTGGGATGGGGATTACGCGGCCTGCCTTGCAAAGGAGGGAAGAAAGAAAAAAAGGCTTCCGGGGACTATGAGAGCAGGGATTGATTTCGTGTTTATACAATTTTGTGTAATACTGTATTTTAACTGTATAATGTCATAAGATACATATCTTATTTGATGCTAGAAAATTGTTTCTGCAATAATCCACAATTGTATAATAATGACTACTAGGAGGTGTGAAAGTGGAAGAAGCCTTTTTATTGCGAAAAAACTTAGTTATAGATTCAAGTCAATTCTGAGTAACTTGTTCTTATCAATGGTATCATCTTTTTTCTGATAGGGTTGTCAGAGGTGTATATAAAGTGAAAATTTCACTTTAGGCAAAAGCTCACATCGAATGCCAGCACTGAACCTGCACTACACCAACCCCTTGTTAGGGTAGTTAATCAGAACATTTACTCTTTAGGGTCAATGATTTAGGGATACTTCTTTTAGTACATGTATGTATCATATGTATGGTATAAAAAGTAAAAGTATAATATACATATATTTGAAATCTTTATATGGGAGACCGTGGAGATGTATGAAACTAAGAGGAAGTGGTCCTGATGTGAATAGATAGATGGATGGATTGAAGAGTGACCAGTACAGTGCAGAATTATCAACCCGGGAGGAGCTCAAGAAACCGCAAGAGTATGATGAACAGTGTTTTCTGGGGCTACCATCTCATATCCGGGCAGCTGACGGAGGGTGGCATGTATTACGGACCGTGGCTATATCTCTGTGCATACATATGGCACTCAGGTGGCAGTTGATTTGTGGTGCTATCCCACCATCCCATGCCCGCAATCTCGAAGGCCGTGTCCGGTGATTTTTTTCGGACACTTAAGTATCGAGGGTCTCTCCCGAAGAACCATTCTCTCTTTCCAAGTTAACCGGAGCTCAGTGGATGCTGAACAGAACACACGCTACAGTTCGACAGTAAACAAAACGAAAATACTGATTCGATGCTCTGGAAAAAAAAAAAAAAGAAGAAAAAAATGGGGTGATTACTGGGGGACTGGCCTCGTCCGGCTTTGACGCGGGCGGACTTTGCTATTGTCCTTGAAATACCGTGAAAACTCGAATAATTGAACCTGGTTTCATGTCGTTGGGCTTTCCTCTCTCGGTAAGGTCAAGAAATAATTTTTTTTTTCTATCTCGGAGGAGGGAAAGGGTCTGTTTTCGCTGTGTCTTTTTTTTTTTTTTTTTGCTCCCCTTTCCATAGAAGGAAATTTCACACTACGTGTAACTAGGTTCGATTATTCGAGTTTTTACGGTAGGCTTTCCGGTTCCCCCTGAGTTACCTGATCCACCGAGGACGCTAGGATCTGGATAGCACTAGTTGTAGATTAGTAAGCAAATAGTAGGGTAGCGACATTGCCAGTAGAACTCAACGGCATGGTTATTACAACCAGTGTCCCGGTAGAAGTACACCTGAAGTATCATATTTGACCCGGATATAGTAGAAAACAGTAATGATAGCAATGCGTGTTGGATGGGTAAACTCTGGCGCCGTGGATCGAATTGAGAGGGCCTCGCTGGGTATCCTGTGGTTTGGCGTAAACTATGTATCATAGACGATTGTAGGAGTGAGGTGCTGGTCTCCGGTGGGTGGGAGGGGAACCTCGCGAAGGGGAGTAGTGTAGTGTAGTGGGGTATTTCTGCCATGGGAAATTTGGCAACTTTACTTGGCTTGAGGTCCTGCTGAGGGCTTCTGTGGGAGTATCATATCATACATATCATACGATACTAAGACTGAGTTCTTCCCTCCAATCAAAGCCTTTTGGAGAGTAGTCTATGAGGTGGTGATTCGGGGAGGGTATCTATTGGAGAGCTCTCAAGATGTCGCCTTTTGCCCTCAAACTGGTATTTGGCGTTATGCTACAGCCTCGGAGAATCATCGAACCCTCTTGAAAAAATGAGTGAGATTTTTTTTTTCACATAGACGATATCCTGCCCTAATAACTCTGCTTTTTCCTTCATACTAGACGTGACTGATTTCCTGGCTCCCTTCTGGCCCCTCCTCTCACCCTCCATCCCCTCTCCCCTCCCTCTCCCCTCCCTCCTCAGTATCATACCTTCCCTCGACATTGAAACCCATCCTTCTTCTTGACATCAAACAATCAACTTTACAACCAACAACCATCATAAACCTATTCCCCACTTTAAATCCTTTTCACTTCTAGTATCTCTACTTTTATACCTTTAACTCAATGGCGCCTTCAAATTTCTGGTCTGGTCGTGATACCACTGCTCTCCAGAGAGAGCAAAGGGCACTGTTCAAACGGGCTGCGGCCAAACACAAGATCCGTGTCGCAGAAGAACCTAAGTTGAACCCTCTTGATGGCCAACTAGGGGCCACCGGTGATGTTATCTCTGAAGGAGGACCTGTTGTGGATGCCCTGACTGAGAAGGCCGCTCAGAAGCCTGTTAAAAGTAAGACCGGTACTCCCAATGGATAATTGTGGGAGAAAAATCAATGCTAATTCTTGTGAGCTATTGCAATAGGAGCCGTGCAGCAGAAAGCTAAAGCTTCTACCAAAACTAAAGCTGCCAAAAAGTCCAAAGCTCCAAAGAACGCCACCAGCGAGACTTTGACCGGAGGTGAGAGCTTGGATGAAATAGTTGAGCACCTTAACTGTAGATACACCCCGCACCTGAATACCTGTGATTGGTCAAGAGCTAAGGGCAAGCAGCGCAGCTTTCAGCTTCAGGTTCCGGGGAGTTGGGAAGGCTTTTCCCTGGTACCGGCAACAGCATTAATACCCTTACTACCAGCGCCTTTGCACCAGCTTCTCCTGCCAACCACCACCCGGACTCCTTTGGAGTGTCCAATAGTTCACCTATTAGCTACCCCGCTCAAGCCGGCGTCCAGACTTCACCACTTAATTCTGCCGACAATCTTCAGGACCTTCTGAGTTCCTGGGGTGTTCCCCCCATCAGCGACTCTGACCTCCTTTTGAGTGATACCGATATGTCCAATAGTCCTACCTCGGACTCTATGGACTGGCTCTCGGGGCTTTTCCCCCCGGATAACAATTTCCCTCCAAGCCAAGTTCCTGGAGATAGTGTGCAATTCGCTACTGGCGCAACTGTCGAGGATATATTCGGAATGCCGGTGGAAAATGGATCAAACTCTGTTACTACCGCCGCCACCGATCATTCCTTCAATTCCAAGGATAGTCTCTTCGGCGACGACAGCGACGATGACGAGGGCGACGGCAATTCTTTCAATTCCATTACAAGTCTCTTTGGCGACGATGGCGATAACGGCGCTGCCCACGGAGATGGTATTCCAATTAGTTACTCGGACCTCCTTGAAGGTCCTAACGTTCTCGGTATCATGGCTCCCGGCTCTCCCAGCCCCGGCAATGCCTCCTATCCCTCTCTGCCTGATCTCAACATCGCTCAAGGCGGCAACGCCCAAGAGCCTCTGTTAGGTTTCCCTGAAGAGGGATGTGATCTCGATATGGTGGACTCAGTTTGCAGCCACGATTCTGATGATTATGACGATTCTGACTCCGCCGATGAAACCCCCATTCCATACCAACCCATGGGCCAGGGCTCCGGTGAAAACCAATCCATGGCCGAGGCAGCGCCCAATGCTTCCCATCCTCAACAGTTCCAAACCCCATTGGAAAGCGGTCAGAACCATTATGATCTAGTTGAGGCTCAATTGGAGGGAGCGAGATACATCTCGGGGATTGCACAGCCAGAGACGAGGCTGATCGGGACCAACGCAGACCACTTTTGCTACAGGTGCCTTCACCCGGGTCACAAGACGAACGCATCCGCATGCCCCGTTGGCAGGGTTGAGAGTCTCATGGATCCGGACAAGGAGACATTCTACACCCTTTTGGATGCCGTTGACATTCGCCAGAAGCTCCTCCTTCGTGATATCGGGTGGATTGCCGAGGGCCTTAATTGGGGAATTGACATGGCTCAGGAAGGGGTTCTCGACGGGCTTGGTATCTTGCCATCCTCACTGGTTTACTTGAGTGACCTTTTGGTGTCCTGGACTTCTGTTTCTGAGAACCAGGCGTACACCTTCGGGCCGATTCCGGGTTTTTCAGTTGTTGTAAGTATAACTGATACCCCCCGTCCGCCCCTCCTTCCCCTTGAGCAGATTGTAATGAGGTGCAATAGTGCGGAGAAGAGGTTGAAATCGATGAAACCCAGCAAAACACTGCTGGGCTTTACAAGGTCACTAAATCGCACAACATTAAAGAGGTCACTTTTGCTAGTTTGCTTCAAGGAAGTTCGGTAAGTTCTCCGGTTGTCCAAAGCTCGGTGGAGTTGGCTAACCACTCATTCCTTTCTTCTTTACCCAGGCTCCTCCCACTTCCCGCAAACGTAAAAGAGCACCCGAGCAGACCGTTGCCCAGCTACTCAATCTCGATTCCATCGGAGCCCGCCCAAAGGCAACATGTTCCCGCTGCCTTTATCCCGGCCATACCTTCAATTCTACTCTCCTTTGCCCATTTTCTCGGATTAAGAGTGCTGTTGATAAGTCAAAGACGCAGAAGAGCTGGAGGATTGTCGATCTCGACGATGACGTTGCTAAGCTCAGAAAGGTAATCGACGGCCTTGGTGAGAGCGATGAGAGAACTGCAATTCTTGTTGATATACTCGAAAGATGGGAGCATGTTAGCCGTGGAGCCGGCCCATCGAAGTCGAAGAAATCCCGTGCTGGTGAGTTGCCTTCTTCCTATGTCCCATGAAAATGTCGACTGACGCAGTCTGTTAGGCTCAGGAACCAATTCAAAGGCTCCTGAGGATCTGTTGCCTGTCAATACGACCTCAAATGGAAAGCGTCGGGTTGGTTCTCAGCCTTCTGGGACACAGTCTCCCACTAGTACTTCCTCTGGTGTTAGCAATGGATTCGGAGCACCTGGCAACATCGGCATTGGCAGCTCCACTTTCCCGGGAGAATCGAGCTCCTCAGCCACCCCCGGTTATGGTACTCCAGGCAGCAGCCATTCATCCAACACGAGCGTTGGAGACCTTCAGCTCGATGTTCCTGAATGCCTTAGACCGTCTCGCCGGACTGGTATTAAGACAATTGGAGCTCGACCGGACACCATCTGCAAACAATGCTTTTACACCGGACATGATCAGCGTAGCCAAGCATGCCCTGCCAATATCCTCCGCCGTGCGCTCTTCCAGGGTTCTCTCAAGGACCTTCAGGACGCCGGTAATTCCTGTCAAGATATCTCGGACATTTTGGCGTGGGAAGCGTCCCAGCCTACAAACATGAAGGCCAACAGCGCTCTCCGCCAGAAGCTCGAAACGTTGCATACCAAATTCACTACCGCTTTGAACCTCCTCAGCCCTCCGCAGGTGGGAAAGACTTCACAAGAAGAATACGCTAGCAGCAATCGCAACCAGGTTTTCAGTACCCCTCGGAAGTGTTCTTATCAGGAAGCATCTTTCCAGGAGCAGAGCACTTCTCCAGCGTCTTCACCCTACCAGACCCGTCACTCCCAAGAACAATTGGGATCTCCGATTCGCTTCGAACAAGCCCCCCTCTCGGGAATCTGTATCGACCACTCCAAGTTGGATTCAAAAATGCTCATGGATCTCCTGCCATTTGTTATCAAAGGTCAAGAGACCCGTGGCTTGCGCGTCGACCATGCGAAAATGTCCCCTCAACTCATCATGGTTATCGCACCGTTCATCATTCCGGATGCCCCGATTCAATCATCGGCTCTTCAGGATCACTCCTACCAAGCTGGTCAACACAAGGAGAGTAGGAAATTGTCTGAGCAATCCTCCTCTTACGGGGGATCCCCTTCCGTCACCAATTCTCTCCGTAACGACTTCCCAGTGCAATCTCAATTCCCCTCTTCGCCCCCGGCTTTCTGCAACTCCTCCGGAACCATGGCAAAGACCGGGAATGGCAACCAGTATAACAACAACTTTATGGCTGGCTCTTCTCAGAGGGCCCAATATCAACCCGGCGCTAAGAGACGCAGGGGAAACTAGGAGCTTCAAACAAACTCCCTGAATTAAAAATAACAACTTCTGGTTTTCATATGGGGTAACTGTTATTGTCAGTGTGTGCCCTCAGTGCATTGGAATGCATAACAAAATAAAAAAATGAGAATAAGGAGGGCGGAACAAAATGTAAGGGTAGCAGCCAGTTGAGACAGTGAGTATTATGTCTTCTTACCTCTATGTTTTTGTTTATCTGTCTCCTGGCTCGTGTATTCAGTTCAGACAACTCTTCAATAAAGTCATTCCAATAAATAAATAAATCCCAAACAGCGGCTTGGTAAAATAGTGAATTCTAACGATGTCTTTGCCCGGAATACGATGGTTCCTGTTGTTATGAGATCGAACCACCAACATAAGCTCAGGGGCTCTCCTGGCCAGATACCGCGCATTAGATTGTATGGTCAGGAAACCCCAAGGGAATAGAGTGAATAAAGAAAGCCCTGTCACCCCCACCCCCGCGGCTCTGGAAATCCACCCTTGGAATCCGACTTTTTGAATGTCGTGCCGGGACCACTGCGTAGTGCTGATTCCAACCGCTTTTCCAGACTTTAAAGCGGTTTCCTCAGCAGCTTGATACGTGCCCGTGAGATAATGGCAGCACTTCTGAGGGTGTGAAAACGCCAGTTATCCATTATCTTCTTCGGAGGCGCAGCATGGTTCTCCGAAATTCCCCGAGGTCGCCGGGGCCCTTCCTTGAGCCTAGCCACGGGCCGAATTCAATTGGAATTAACCCAGAAGGATTGGGTTCCCTTTTGTGCCCACGCTGCTTTTGCAGAATAAGGGGGAAGGTGGTGAGTAGAACGCAAAATCCCCAATTTCAGCGGGACCATAATGCTAATATACTGCTCGAGTGTGGTGGTCATTTTCGATGGCCTGTCCAATGCCAAGAAGGCCGAAGTATCAGTTGAGCGTGCTAGTGAAAATCTCATCTCTACACTCGCTGAATGTGCACCAAGCTGCCAACTAGAGCAATCTTGAGAGGCACCCTGTTCTGAGACACCCCGGCTGTATTATGGCGAGTGAGAATATATGATCGGACAAGGGTGGTGGCATGGGGTGTATGGATACCGATCAAGAGTATTGGACTCCGCTGGGATATAGAGAAGAGTTGCGGTATCGGGAGGCGTGAGAAGTATGTGGTAATGGATGTTGGAGAAGTAACAGGTATGGCTAATTTGGATTTGTCCGTGGAGATCCTCCCCTCCATCGTATTGGCGAACACCCGGTTGTGACTGGCGAAACTCGCGGGCACCAAATATTCGGCCGTTAGAGGTCATGCCACTCCTGAGAGAAACCCGGCAGATCCCACGGTTCGTCAGAGAATGGTAGCGTAGGACGGCATGCGCTATACCTTGGCTTTAGAACATCGGGGCCCCTTGGAACGCTGCCGGCCAAGATCCCAAGGAGTGGTAATGGCCTTACGCGAGCCTTTTCAGCGAAGAGTTTGGGGTTTCTCCAGGTTTCAGATAGCATGAGTGTAGGATCAAGCTATTCTACAGGGTAGATGTACAATCCGAGCTCTTATGAACCTAGGGGGGTCCCCACCGCTGTATCCGTCAGTTGGTGAGCGGTGCCGGCAGGAACCACAGAATAAGCGAGATATAGAGGAGGAGACAGAAACGGAGAGTGTGTCTCTTCTCGCGAAGATAGAGAGGCGGGAGCAGTTTGGGGCGATTTTCAGAGAATAAATAACCGAGAGATATCTAGGAGTTTATATACAGAGCAAGTGAGGAAGATGACTCTGCGTTGTCTGGTCACATGCAATCAGCCTAGCGTTGCTAAGGCTGTTCTCAATGGATTTGCCATTGAACTTGGCTTCTCTATACCATTCGAGGGTGAATTGCCATTGTGATTGGAACGCCATTCATGCTCGATTGGGTATAGTCAGGGTAAATCAATGTCCTAAGTTACCCTTCATATCCCACCGAGGACACACACAATACGAATTACAGCAACGGGAGAGAGGTTCCTGATGCGCATCACTTCTTTTTGGATCACTTTAGCTAACAGAACCAGGAACAGCACCCGCCACATCTGGTGGCTAGCAGCAACCACCCAGATACCTACCAATTGAGCAAAATCGTCCCGGGGCTATTGGGCTCGCGCGTTTTTGACCATATTACCGGGGGGAACATAATTTGGGCGAGGGAGTGAGAATAAACCCCGTTATTCTCACCAAAATCCTGTTCTCAGCGGCATCTCCGGCAGAAGCGCGCCGGAACTTGGCTCCGAGACTCATTAAAACCCCTGGTGCATACCCGCCAATATCAAAAGTCTCTCCCCAAGGTATAGCCGCCGGTAGCAAGACAGCAACTACTCCGCTCTAGAAGTCCCGGCGACAGGGGAATTGTGTTGATAGCTATTACTCATGAATCAAATATCCCTGGAAAACGTGGTCGCTGGTTATGCTGAGAGGTTATGAGGTGAGCCCTGATTTTACAAGCAAGGTGCGGTTCGGTGGCTTACGCCTAGGGAAAGGTCGGGGACAGACTCTTTATTTAAGCGAGTATAGGACCCATACTACTCAGATATCGGGACAGCAAACTATGAGGACCTGTGTGTTAATAGGACGATGTGGGTAAGCAAAACTTCATTTTTGCTTCCGCGAGAATCCTTTTGAGCTCTACCCTCTATTCTTATCCAGTTTGTGAGCTATAGGACAGTAAGACTAAGGGTGCGATCCCGCCGGCAAACCCGTCAGGATCACCCCAAGCTCCTCGGAGTTTGTTGAAAAATTATTGATATGGAGGTAATGATCGGTAGTGAGGGTTTACGCAGCAGAGCAGAATCCTGCAAGTGGAGATAGAAGGTTCTACTTAGGTGAAGAGAAAGACCATGATTGATTTCTTAAAGGTGACCGAGAGGAAGAACTTGAGGAGAGAGGTAAAGTACAGAAAGTTGTTTTACTCGCAAGAGAGAACAGAAGGGAAGAAAAGACAAGGATGAGAAAATTTTTCATGGCTTACGCGTCTTCCGGGGGTACAGACATATGCTACTGACGCCTTCATGTATGAGCACATCCCGCACCAAGTGCAGCCATCAACTGCCATTTCCAACAGAGTTCTTCAAAGGGCAGTACGAGTGACATTCTGTGAGGACAGCGTGTTCAGGCGGACGCAAGGTTGGCGTGCGATGTGAACCCAAGCCACTCGAGCCCGCCAATGGCTCCCTCAAAAACCGGACCGAACTGAGCTCACCTGTGACCAACACTTTGTCTCGTTTCGTTTGCACCGCGTCTAACACGTCATCTCTACAACAAACATCCCAGTCGCTAAAGGGTTACGCATATTTAGGAAGGGGGATTGACTAAGGTACGGCTTTTATGCCCTTACCTCCTTACCTGAATATAACCATGGTGGGAATTCTGAGACCGCCAGTTTACAGCCGGAGTGTCTGCCACCGTCATGGAGAGTTCAGAGGTGTACTCGGGGGTGTCCATAAATTTACGGACTGTCTTTTCTTGATATCGAATACATTAACTAAGGGAAAGCTGTGCTTTCTGGGTTTATCAAAATCTTTTAATTCATTACCAGAGCTCATGGCTCATGATGCCAACCCAACGACTGCTAAAGAAGATATATGACCAGAGGTTTAAGAACTCGGAAGGAAATTCAGGGTTATTATTTAGTCATACAAACTAAGGTTTAAAGTCCTTCTTCCGCAATTCCTCATCTTGATGAAGGAGATGTGTTGCTAACGCTCTGATTTCCTAGAGACCCCCCTCCGTAGCATTGCGTTTTAGTACCATCTACTGTCAGCGCTCCTGCGCGGGTCCCTGTGAATCACTAGGCACACTCCAACATCACCACGAGGCATGGTAGAGTATTTTTGAAGTTTGATTAGCTTGGTTATTATACACGTTAGAATTCTAGCACCAGAGAAGCACAGTATCGGGACAAGCAAGGGCATGCACTGTCCGTGCAAATATCTGTATGTTAACGGCAAAAGGAAAGTATGGTAGGAGAATTGCTCTATCCTCAAGGTTCAGTGGTTCTTTGCTGTGGCGTAGCGGGAATAGACCAGTTTTATAGGCCACCGGAAAGAGAGTAATGCTAGCCTCCAATGGAGTGTATAATTCTTTTTACGAACAAGATGTGTGGACATTAACACTCCGGTCTGGCCCAATATTTCCCCCCTACCCCGAGCAGCCGCCGACATATCCTAAATTCGGATCGAACAGCACCTCATTCAGTCAAAAGGAAAGAAGATGGGCATTTAGCCAGGTTAGGAGCAGGCACAACACCGGGAATCTTACTTGGGTTCTATGGCCTCGAGCTCCCGTCCGTCATTTAGGCGGAACAGCTAACCCAAGTCCTGGCATGGGGGATCACAGACACCGCGACGGTAATACCGCTACCAGTACCCGAGCGCTCTGTTTCGAGAATACCTAACTCATAAAGGAAGTGATAGATTCTAGTCGGGACCGGAATCACCACTGGTCTGACCTATTGATCCACTTGTCTATAAGTATGATGTCATGTCCCTGACTGATATCGCGCTAAGGACAATAGGGTTATATATCCGGAATCCCCAGAAGGAAAAAAGAGTTCGTGTCGAGTGCTCTTAGATCGCCCACAATGCCTACCGGTAGCTATGATACCGTAGCATCCATCCAAGATATTGATGAACCGGGGGACTCTGCTAGAAAAAGTTTCTAACCGTTGACTGATGCTCTGGTAGTCGGCCGTCGGGATGTACTCGAATACGGGTATGATGCGGCAAGTTATTTATGGTCTATCATTAGTATGGGATTGCCCGGAATATCCAGCGAAATAGCTGGAATATCATCCAGAACCGCACAGAGACTACCGGTACGGTAGTGAATTCTGATCGGTCGTCTCCATACCACTAGAGAAGACATCATAGCACTTGGGTGCGCTGATACACTTTTCTGCATACTGGTACCGGAAAACACTTTCCTTCGATCCCGCGAGAAGCCATCAGGATAGGGGTTACGAGTACATTTGGCTCTCCCGGTTTTCAGAAAC